GGAGACAAAGTTCTCACTCCCATCCTAAATTCCTCTGTGTGTGTGTGTGTGTGTGTGTGTGTGTGTGTGTGTGTGTGTGTGTGAGAGAGAGAGAGAGAGAGAGAGAGAGAGAGAGCGCTCTTGGCATATATGAGGAGAAAGAGGGAGTCCAGCAGTGGAGGAAATGTATTAGCTGGAGGGAGAATTGGAGACAAAGTTCTCACTCCCATCCTAAATTCCTTTGTGTGTGTTCTTATAGCTCCAGTCCATCTAGGCTATGTATATGCACATAATAAGTGTGTGTTTTCGTGAGGAAAGGGGGCTGTCTCAAAATCCAAGGTCTATTGCTCTTTATGCTACATTTGAATATTATCCCCTTTGGTATTTTGTAAACCTTTGGGCTCTATCTACAAGAGCTGTATCTCCCTCTAAATGTACTGGAAATAAAATATCTAAACCTGGCATTTAGCAAAATGGATCACCATGGAACATGTATCTCTTCCAGAAAGCCTTCTTTGACACTCCCTCAAATTGTCCCTGCTATACATTTCCAAACATTGCACCTCCCCAATAAACTGCCTGTCACACTTATTTTAATTACTTGTTATTTTCCCAAATAGATGATTAATTGGGAGAGAGCAGGACCCTTGTCTGTTTTGCTCACCTCACCCAGGGTTAGCATGTAGGAGAGACTCAACAAATATTTTTTTACTGAATGGATCTAAGTTGACATGGGTTAACAGGTGCTCACATTGTGGACTAGCCCCAGGACAAAGTTCTGATAAGGTCAGGTGGGGGTAAGGTGACAACTTTTCTGGTTTGTTTGTCTGAGCCTGAGGGTTTGCCAGAATGCAGTAATTTTAGTTGTAAAATCTAGATAGTCCAAGGTAATGTAAGATGGTTAGTCACCTCTAGGTGTGGAGCATCTAGAAGAATATCTGAAGGATGAAGGGGTTCTAGAGAGAGGAGGCAGGAGGTTGCAAAATACAAACTTTGTCTCCTTTAGAAATTATTTAGGGGAAGAGGGTGGGAATAGATCTCCTATATTTGCTCTTTGGAGTTAATCCTGGTGCTTTGGGAAACAGAGGTCGGAAGGTGGGTGGGCATAGATTCTATGACGAGGTGGGAGTGAGGTGGTGAGGGAAGTAACTTGGAGAAGGTGACCAGCGGTGCATTTGAAGAATAAATAAGGCAGTGGGAAGGAGGTGGCAGCCATTTCTTCTGATCACCTCCCCAGAAACATCACATGAATTAGGAGGTGAGAGGCTTGGTTCTCAGTTCTTCCCTGTTTCTACCCATAAAGAACTGGTTGGCTTTAGAGAAGTCACTGGGTTTCAGAGAAACTACAAGAGTAGAGTCATTTTTAATGCCATAATTTTTCCATGTGCTGTAATTCACTGGAGAGCTCCCTAGACCACAGACTGGTGGGCCCCATCCCCAGAGTTCTCATTCAGCAGATATTGGGAGCCCTAGAATTCAAGTTCTCAGAGGTCCCCAGGTGCTGCTGGAGCTGCTGGTTGGGCACCCACAACTTTGAGAAGGACAGTCTTGGTGCCAACAGAGCCTAGTTTGAATTTCAGTTCACCTATCAGCTGTAAACTTTGAATACATTTCTTAACATCTCCTAGTCTCAGTTCTCATGTGCAGAAAGGTAAAAGGGAAATGAGATAATGAGAGGAAACTTATTGGCACCTGTGCCTGTGATCATTGCAGATCCAGGGACCCTGGAGCTCAAAGGCATCACATATTTGTGTGAACCCAGATGGGCAGAAGGCTGTCAATCAAATAGGTGTTTGACAGGATTTTGATAAACCTTTACAGAGCCAGATGTCTGACCACCAAGACCCCCAGCTCCTCCACAGTTTCTACTGCGCTGCTTTTCACTTGTGTGGCTGCCAAGCTCCCTCCCCTTTCAGCTGCTTTGAGTTTTTTCTCTTGTGGTGGAAGTGGATTTACACTCTCCATCAGCAGTCTTCTGCCCAGCACTCCTTGTGACTACAGAGACAGCTGGGCAGCAGAGAAAGTGGAGTGGGAGAAAAGCTAACTGCTCGAGAAAGGAATCAAAGTTCACCAACAAGACAGCCTCTCTAATTGGGCCGATAAGCCACTGGCAGGGATCAGCAAAACCTTTGGCAGGATCAGTTGGGTCTCATCAACAGCTGACAACAGGCTTTGTCCTTCAGTCCCTGCCATCGTCCTGACAGTATGACATTAAAATGCCTTTGTGGGGTTATTGCTTTACTGGCTGCATGTCTTGGATAGGCAGAAACAATTTTATTCTCTTTATGAAGGAAAATTTTAATAACCCTAATGAAAATATCATTCTATTTTATCAAATGTTTGACATTCACTCCCACATTAAAGAAAAAAATCTCTTAAAATTATGGCCATGGAGGGATTGATTAGCTTAACTACTGGCTGGTCATGTGTGTCCCTTCTCACTTCCCTTCTAGCTCTTCAGCACAGGCAGTGACTGTGGTCTGGGCACATACTGGCCTGGTTCCAGTGGGCCCTTCCTGCAATGATTGACATGGACAAAGTTCATGCATATCTTTCTGCAAATGTGCCCCACACACCTATCATGAAGATCATCTAACGGCATCTAGATTAGGGTGGTAGAAGTCTTCCCACTGGCCTGAAGCCATTTTGATTTTAGGTGATTTCAGTAGAATGCAGGGTTTTAAATTATTGCTCTTGAACTGTGTTCTTCCACAAAATCAGAACTTTTTTTTATATATTAACATCTTACTGTCTTAATGACTTTCCCAGAGGATATTCTTTGAATTTCCTTCCAGTAGTGACTCATGTGGAAAATTCAAAATAACTGTTTATTGGGAAGTACATAAGAGTTTGGTAGACCTGAGCTGTAATATGAACACATTTTCTGGCCTCAGAATCACCATCATATAGACAGATGGGTCCCTAGAGACCATCTGCATAGGCATACTTAACCTGGGTCCTCAGATAGCTTTCATCATTTTGAAATTCTGTGCAAAAGTATGGGTATATTTGCGCATGTGCAATTTTCTTGAGAAAGTCCAGATTTTTTCTTGATACACACACACACACACACACACACACACACGCAAAGTGCCCTTTGAACTTCCTTAAAAAACAAATGAAAAACTAATCCTGAAGAATTGAAAAGCTGTTCAAAGTTTAACAACTTGGGGACAGACCAAGACTAAAAATAAGGCCCTTTGACTCTCAGCTCCGTATACTTCCTACTACCCCACACTTCTTGATTCTGGAAGCAGAACTATTTTTATTGTAGCCACTATTGTAATGAAAGCAGCAGTAAATAAATGTACTTAGCTGAAAAAAAAATTGTATCAGAAACAGATACTGTACCACATCACCAACTTATAGCTCAAATAAGACTTATTTTTTGGCAAAATATTTAAACTCATATGTACTGGTTGTGAATTATTGCCTTCTTGAGGTTCCCATTTTTAGTCAACCATAAAGGCCCAGCTAAGAATTTTTACTTATGATTCATTGGGTGATCACAAGAGTTACACATCTGTCTCAGGGTAAGAAATGTTTCAATAATGGGTACAAATAAGTCACAAGGGAATTAAAGTGATGGGGAACGAGAGTTAGAGAAAACAGAGGGGCCTGGGTTTAGGGTGAGGGGATGGGTGGTGGGATTAGCCAAAGAAATGTCCCAAGAGCCTACCTTTCCACACTCCCCCAGCCTCTCCTTCTCCAAGAGTTTTTGGGACTCCTTTTCCCAATAGGCCATCAGTGCCTCTCTGCTGAATGTCCCTGTGGGCGTTTTCTCAGTCAGACTCTTTTGCCTTAGACCCACAGGAAGGTTACGATCAGGTTCAATGTCTTCCAGCTCCCTCTCCAGCTCCTTCAGCTCCTCAGCTGACAGGGAGGCCAGGAGTTCATCCTCATCAATGGATTCATATTTACTAAGTCCTCTTCGGTAGCCAAAGGTAGACATGGTCCCTGCTTCGTCAGACCCACAGGTTGCTAGAAGAAGCAGGCATTCAAGGCAGCCAGAGGCAGGCCAGAAAGCAAGTGGGAAGGCTGGGCAGCAACTGGTACTAGGAGTGGCTGCAGTAGCCTTTTAAGTGTGGTGATGTAGGGCTGTGACAATGCAGGGAGGGTGAAAACATGGGCTGTTTTAAGCATCAAACGTCAGCTAGACATTTGAACACAAAGAATGTCACATCGGTGGTGGATGGAGGTCTCAGAAGCAGCGGGGATTATTAACATAGTGGCCAGGGCCATATTTAGCTGAGCCTGATAGCTCATGAGGACAGGCAGAGAGTGTTTCAGATAGAGAGTGACATAGTTCTTCCCATTCTGTGTTCAAACTACAAGGGAATAGAACTTATTTTGAAAATGACTTGCCACTACCCCATGGCCATGAAAAGATTCTTTCATTATAACCTTAGAGTTTGAGAAATGACTCCACAATGCCCTATGGATGTTTATTTTGGTTCTCCTATAAATATACCATGGGTGATGTGGATAGAAATAGAGGCTGCAATAATACAGTACTTTATAATTTTATTGTATTTTGCAGCTTACAAATCATTTTCATATCATTTTTCCCAGCCATAATCTTGTGATAGGAATAACATGATCCTTACTACAGATTTTGGCAATTGATACAAGAGATTAAGTGAAATATGCCATACCAGACAGTGGGAAGGGCAGAAGTATCCAAAGATACTCTGCATTAAATGGCTTTCCTTTTCTCCTTTTGCTCACTAGTAAAACACTAAATTCTCAACTAAAACATTAATAATAGTACTGGGTAAGATTTATTAAAAAGTGATATTATGCTGTCCTGGTGCTAAGAATGTTACATGTTTTACCTCTCTTAATCCCACAGTCCTTTAAAGTGTATACTGCTGCCTGTATTTTACTAATATAGGCCTAGGGACGTTAAGTAACTTGCTCAGGAACACAGAGCTAAGAAGTGGTAATGTTGGAATTGAAACTCAGATTTGTATCTAAGCTGAAAATTAAAGAGATGCTAATTTTTAATTATGCATATATTCCTGTGAATATGTTAAAATATATACATACTTTATAGGACTTCATAATAATAAAGAAATTTTAGCATTTAGATATATAAACATCTATTACAATGTATATGCCTATAAATATAAATGTATCAATTAATTTATAATACATGACATTTAATTCATATACTCAGCAACTGGTGAATATTTGTGTTATTTCCAAAATTTCATTATAAATAATTCTGCTAAGAACATTTACATGCAAGTCTTTCACCATATACTTTCACATGTCTTGGGTAGACATTCAGGAATGGAATTACTGGTTTATACAACAAAGTCACTTTTAAAGAAACTACAAATATTTTTCCAAAACGGCTGGACCATTTACACTTTCACCAGCAATAGATAAACTTTCTGATTTTTCTACATCCTCATCTGCTATTGTTTGTGTTTCTAATAATAGTCATTTTAGTGAGTGTAAAATGATGTTAACATAACTTCTTGTGTTTATTGGTTATCATATATCTTCTTTTGTAAAATTATTCAAGTTTTATGCTTATTTCTAAGTTGAGTTGCCTTTTTATTGATTCTGAGTTAGTCATATATTCTACACACAAGTACTTTATCAGAAATATAATTTATATATATTTTTCCTATTCTGTAGCTTGTCTTTCAGTGTCTCTTGAATAGCAAATGTTTTTAATTTTGATGGAGTCTTAGTCACCATTTTTCTTCTATTACTAGCATTTTGGTGTTACATTTAAATCATTTCTTAACCCAAGGCCACAGAGACTTACTCTTTTTTTTTCTTCTAATAGCTTTATAATCTTAGATTTTTATGTTTAGACTTCTTACCCATTTGACTTAATTGGTGTCAATTAATATAGTGTTAATTGGTGACTTAATGTGTGTGTGTATGTAAAGTAAGGGTTTAATTTTATCTTTTGCATATCAATATCCAATATCTTCACACCATATATTAAAAAGACTATTTTCCTCTATTGAATTGCCTTGGCGTCTTTATGGAAAAATTAACTGACCATAAATATAAGGGTGTATTTCTGAATAGTCACTTCTGTTCCCGTAACCTGTCTTTCTATCCTTATGCCAATACCAAATGGTTTTAATTACGGTAGCTTTGTAGCATGTTTTGACATTAGGAAGTGTAAGCCCTCTAATGGCTTTTTTTGTAAGAATGATTTGGGTAAATATTTTGATTTTAACTCATTCTGGTATTCTACTTCCAATAATAACTATGACATTTTTCATTGATCCTATGAGAGAAATAATGATGAGATTAAAATGATGAGTTCATTTTAAAAAATTTATTCTTTGAAGACATATTCATATTCATAAGGTATACTATGATACTTTAATCCATATATACATTGGGTAATGATCAGATCAGGGTAGTTAGCTTCATTCGTTTTGTTTACAGCCTATAGCATAACTTTTGTGTCACCTCAGTGGAGGCATATCTTTTTATTTGAAAATGAGTATGACTTTTTGGCAATAATGGTAAGACATGAAAGCCAAGCATAGTAAATGAAATGAGTTATTCAGTTTTATAATAATATTTTAGATAAAAAAGAATAACTACAGTTATGTTAAAAACTTTTAAAAAAGATATATAAATTATAGCACAAATTCTTTCTGTTAATTATGTATCAGGCAAATAAGATATGGTGACTGGTATGCAAGTTTTAGGGTGCATAATTATGTAAAAAATAATGGCATTGCATTTTTTTATCTTTCATGTTTGTAATTATATATGTGTATTTTTTCATTTGAAAATTTATTTTTTTAGGACATGTTTACAGTACATAATGTTTAAATTTTAAATTTCTTTAAATTAACTAAACCCACAACACATGCCAGATTCTAATTTAATTTCTGGTTTAGAGCAATGATCAACACTTACAAAGTATCTTCTTTCATGAAGCTTGCATTCTAGTTGGGAGAGACAGACAATATATAAATAACATGAAGATACAGAACATATCAGATAGAAGCTCTATGGAGAAAAACAGAACAGGGTATGGGAGAAATAAGAAGGTTGTGGGAATGATATTTCATATAGAAAGATTTCTGTAATAAAGTGACCTTTGAAGTAAGGAGACCCTACAGACCTGTAGATTTAAGGGTTTGATACATGCAGATTATAATATACTTACTATGTCCACAGAATAATTGCTCAGATAATTACTGAATCACATGCTCTCAGATTTGAAAGAACCTTTCAAATACATTAATTCTCAGTTGTCTAAAAGTGACTATTGTTTTCTTGAATATTTTCAGTGAAAACGAGTACATTCAAAAACTTCATTCCTTGTTGGATGGCTCAGATCTGTAGAAAATCCTTCTTTGTATTCAGTTGAAACTGGTTGGAAAATCAGCCTGTATGCTTTCAGTTTTCTTACTGGAATGACTCAGAGTACATTAAGTCTCATTTGAGTTTCTTCTGAGAAATCTAGGTGACCCGTGAATGGCTGTGAAAAAGACTCCAGAAGAAGAGGCATTAGCATGTTTTGTTTTGAGGCAGCATCACTGAAAAAAATATTGCCTCTTAAGGACACTGCATTAAGAACAATGGTTATTTAGATATGGTATGTTTGTTACAAATCACCTCTGCTTATAATAATAATCATAACTTATGCATGATCCTAGTTCATGGACTCTTCCTGTAAATATTCTCCACAAACTAAATCTATTGGATAAAAATTTGTTGAGTGACCAAACTGCCATTTAAACATGGCTAGACTTAGGTATGATGAATAAATTTCCATGGAAACTTTTCTATATCAAGGGAAAAAAATCCAAACATATGTATGTTCCAAGCAACAGTATTTTGGGATTTTTACTTGGTCACCTTGTGTTTTGTATAGAATTGTTTTTAAAGTCAACAATACTGCCTTTTGAATATTAGCATTTTTTACTTTTAAAAAATCACTATCTTGGGAACAAATTTTGTACTTTTTTAATATAGGCATCTGGTTTTCCCAACACCACTTTTTGAAGAGACTATCTTCTGTCTCTGTTCAACTTCTTGATTTGATTCTCAAATAGGTACCCTCAAATATCTCTCAGTATACCGGCAATTCCTTTTTTAAGGAAAATTGAGGTTTTTTCTTTCACTCTGTGTTTCCCTTTTAGCTTCCTCTAGAAAATATTACTTGTTTGTTCAATACACCAAGTACTTGTTGTGGCTTAGCTCTGTGGTGGGAGCTAGGATTACAAACAGAAAAGCAGAAATCAATCCAGTCTCTCCCCTCTAATGGTTCATCATTCTAAGAGCAGACAGCTGACAGTAACGCAGCACAGAGCCACCTCCAGCCCAGAGCCAGGCGCCAGGGAGAGGAGAGCAGAGGAGTTGCAGATGAAGACATGGCTGGAATTAGAGAGGTTGCAAAAGTTGAAGAAGCTTTCCAGGCAGGCAGAAGGTCTTTGAGCAAATGCAAAGGTGTGTGAAGACAAACACCCAAACTGGACTTTGGCATAGAAGTCGGGGAGAAGGTGTAAATGAGGTAGAAACTGTCCCCAATTCACATACTATTGTGGAATTAATGCTTTGGTGTCTTCCTCTCATTCTGCCTTTTAAGAGCCACTAGCAATCTGCCTTGCATATCCTTAACTTCTAAATGTTAAGTATTTGATGTAAAGGGCTGGCTAAGCCACATCAGAGAGTTTTGGACTTTATCATTATCCACCATTAAGTGGTTAACTCTAGCATCACCCCCCATGGCCACTATCCATAGCCATAATTCACAATAGTTGCCTATTGCTTTTCCTTCTAGCAAGTACCATATCCTGTACTAACAGAGACTCAAGGAGAGAGAGTGAACAGAACTCATCTGTATCTCCAAAAATCAGCAACACCAGCTCTCTCACCAGGCAGGTATTTCAGTAAGTAATAAATATTTAAAAGCAGTAATCAGAGGCTCCTAACTACTCATGTATATCGTGCCTACCTTAGTATAATCCTTTATATAGAATTATAAAAATGAATTACTTTCCTATGGATTGTATACGTTGCTCAGTTGGTATTTACTAGTGTTAATATGTCCTACAAATTTTTTTCTAAC